GTCCTGGGGATGCGCACACTCACCTCTCCTCCCTGCCCCGGCCTTGCAGCGACCTCCAGGAGACCCAGCAGCCCCGGACTCCTGTCCTTCTGCAGGTGCACGCAGCCTCGGGCGAGGCTGGGGCTGGGGACTGTCCCCTGAGACCCTGACGGGGTGGGAGTGGGCAGTCACTGCGGGCAGGGCCTGGCCTGAGGCCAAATGAGGGCTGAGTGGGCGGGCGCTGAGCGCTCTCCAGGGGAAGAAGGGGAGAACCCTCAGGCTCCCTGGAACAGATGTGCGGGCTGCTCCTCTTGGGGGTCAGGACCACTGCGGGCTCGGGCTGTGATCCTGCGGGTGCCCGGTCACGGTGCCCTGCGTGCATTGTTTAGTCCCCTTGTTATTTGTTATTTGCTTGAAATTATAGGAAATTGAAACGAGCATGACAAAAACAAATAGATAAAAGTTCCTAATGATATTACGAAGCTTGGAATTATTTCCTTTCTTTACAAAATGCACATAAAGTCATTAAACTTTTTTCTTATTAAAATCAATCATAAAATGATACTATTTCAAGTATGGTAGATAATTATGCAAAGAAACTCTGAAATTAAATTTTTCTTGCATATTGTACTTTATTTTTTGAGGACCTGGGGATTGAACTCAGACCCTTGCACTTGCCAGGCAAATGTTTACTCTATTGAGCCATCTCCCCAGCCCTGCGTGCTATATTTTAAATGTTCACTTATCTGTCAGACTTCTAGCAATGAATAAATTTTGTTTTCTCTTCAGGAAATAATATTATTCCCTTTTGTTTTTGAAGTGCTTAAAATATTTGTATTTTCAAATTTGTTGCCAAAAATTTTCCTGAATTGAGAAAGCACAAATTTTTCAATATCTTTATATGTAAGAAGCTAATCGATGTACACTTGTGGCTTTTTTTTCTGTTTTCCGGACTCCGCATCACTCCGAGCTCGGGGTGTGGCTGCCCCGTCCCCGAGGGAGGTCCGCTCTCGTAGGGCTGCTTCTGAGGCCTGCTCGCGGCCGCTTTCCCGCCCTTCTGCCGCCTTCTTCAGCCCTGCAGTTTTCTTGCTATCCTCACAAGATCTCTCTCTATGCGTCCCTATTATCCATATTTTATTTGCTCTAATTTGTTTGAAATGTGGATTTTTAATGAGTAGCCGTATAAAATTTAAGATTGTGTCTAATTTATTTTGATCAATATTCCGATCTCAAGACGTGTTTATTTTCCTATCAATGACTCAACTGAGCCCATCTTTATAGCACAATGGCACTGCATTTTGCATAAATGCTCGATTCTCTTTATCTGTTGACTTGTTGAGTAACAATAATGCCCTTGTGAGATACATAGAATTGCAACACAGCTGGCAGTGTGGTGTGATGCTTCTTCCTGCCTTCCTCTCTGCTCAGGAGTCCTCTGGTACATGGGGGAACCTTTAGGTTCTACACAAGTCTAAGGTTCTTGTCTCTAGTTCTGTGGGCAATGCCTTTGGTAATTGGGTTACAGTGGCACACAAGCTATTTGTGAGTGCCCTAAGGGTGGACAATGAGGGCCGGGGAGATGGCTCAGTGGAGTAAGCGCTTGCCTGGCAAGGTCAAGGGCCTGAGTGCAATCCCCGGTTGAGCAAAAAGAAAAACAAACAAGCAAAGGACGTTTAGCCAGTTGTGACTCTGAATATCAAGGAATAGGAAACATCTGTATTCCCATTTTCTGATGTGTTTTTTATCTCCTTTTATTCTGAATCCTGTTGTTTTCCTTATTGAATTTTCCTTAGTTTTCATTATAGAAGAAAGTGAACTTTCTTTTGACTTCCTCAATAGATTAATATCTAAGTGTTTAAGTTTTTTAAAAGCCT